GCTAAATTCAACAAAAAAAGTTGAAACATGTTTACTTGCCGACCATGGGGCTTCATGTCTGGTTAATAGCATCTTAAAACTGACCTCTATCCTCAAAGAGTAATGCAACGAAAGAAAGCACTTAATCTTAAATTTAATCCTTTAGAAAGCAGAGAAACCATACTGAAAAAATGTCATAGAAGCAAGAAAATTATGAGACAATAGCACCCCAAAACTCACTTTTCATTAGGATATGGAGAGTAAATCTTGTTTACAAACCCAGTTCAAGGAGATTCATATGTATGAACATCTTGCAATTCTGCCATTATCCTCCATACGTCTCCAGCTCCATGATAAGGACCTGCGACAAGAACAAACATTGTTCCAGGAAGTAAAATGACATTATATCAGAAAAAAAAGGAAGAGTGAGCAGAAATAATTGTAAGCAGTCAACTAAAGAACGTTGTCCTCATTGAGAAATATCAATGAACAACTATGTTGCATGGTCCCTCAAATTGGGATGTTACAATAACAAAAAAACGAATAGAAATTTGAATTGCATTGAACATCAAAATAATCTAGACTAAGCTAGCTGATGAATAGTGAACTGAACAATAGCAATCCCATTACTCAAAAAGAGTTCAAATTTTGCTAAAATTAGTATACTCGTGTAGTCAATTCACATATGAATTGCACGAACCAAACCTAGAAATGTAAATCACAACCTAGCTTAAATATACACTGAAATTCGCTATATACATGTGAAAAATAATCACAGTCAAAGAAGAGATTTTTCCCACCAAGTAGATTGCATAGGGATAAATTGAAGAAGACGAAAAAAGAAAAAGCCTGAAACATCCATAGATTGCACATCATTTCTTATAAATTCTAAATTATAGATAGAATATGCAAAAAAAAAAAAGGTAAAATATGTTTTGAGGGACAAGGAATCCTTTGCCACCCGCAACAACTTAATTTCAACAGAATCTATAAACTACCATCTTATTAAATTGTTTCATGAGTCACCATCTCATTAGCTGCAAAATACTTCAGGGAATAGTAGAAACTAATTGTCATAAACATTAACTTACATCTCGAAATAGCATAATGTTGTTAGTGAAGCCAATACAATAAAAAAATATGAAGTCTCAGACACAAATGCAAACATGGAAATAAAAAAGAGAAAATAATAAAAGTAAACAAAAGAAATCAAGATCAAACCAGCCGTAAAAGTGACCGTATTTCTTTTTTCTTCACCCAAAGCCTCCAGCCACTCGGGCTATAGATGATTCACCACCATCAACATCAAGCCTCCAACATCACCATTCTATATTTTACCCAATTAAAATCACCCATCTTGGATGCTTTAATTTGCGCTTTGAAGAGAGGTAATTCAAAGATATCTGATGCTTTAATTTCCAGCTTGAAGAGGTGATTTTTGGTGGGTAAATGGACCGACCTAAATCAGGCCTCTCTGAGATGAGGTGGTATACCTTTGCTTGTCCGAAGTGGATGGCGGGGCTTCTCCCCTGGTATCACTCCGACGATTAAGTTAGTATGAGAACGAGAAAGATAATGGTATATGAGAATGAACAGTGTGTTTACTTGTTGGGAGTGTGTGGGGTATTTATAGAGTGAGAGCGGAGGGCAGGACGGAGGTCTTATGTCGGTGGGACCCATGCCCTGCCATTACGGCTCTGCTCACTGTCTGGTGGCCTGACTCTGACACTGTAGCCGCCTGGACAGGGTGACGAGGAGTCCTTCGCAGTAGCCATTAAGTGCGACAGTGCTTTTCAGATAAAGCACTGATCCTGGGTGATGTCAGGTGTCCTGACCTCATCCGCGTGCAGCTGAGGTGGAGGTGCCGAGGTCACCTATACGGTAGACTAGGGATTCGGCCGCGCTTTAGGAGATATGCCCGAGACACGGATGAGCTCTGATGAGGGACGAGGTGAGTTCACCTCGGACACACGGGGTTGCCGAGGTGAGCACCCTCAATAAGCCCCCCAAGCCTCGGGAGCTCCGGGCCAGGGAGGTACCGAGGCTTCCTTGGCCGAAGTCGTAAAGAGTCGGAGTCCCGAAACTGCTCCGGAAGATACGGGGACGTGACACGTGGGCATGTCAGCTGATAGGACGTGGTCACTGGTAACCGTCGCGTCGTGAAGTAGTGGGACGTTTCTTGTAGAGGGTGTCAGGTAAAAGGACGGGCATTAATGAGGAGAGAGGGAGGCGCGGTGTTTTGAATTCGAACGTGGCCGTCCTTTCCCATTCTTACCGCCTCTTCGGATTCCCCCCAAACCTTTATAAATAGGGGGGTCCCCCTCACCGCACTACTCACACCTTTCACTTTCATCTGAGACTTGCAAAGTTCGTGAGCGTAGCCGAGGTCAGTTCTATCAGCCGAGATCAGTCTAGTAGCCGAGATCAGAGCCGAGGTCATCCACTTCGTCCAGTTCCGTAGGCAATAGTAAGTACCCTTCTTCTTTCTTATTTCGTCTTTCACCCATGGCCAAAACGGCTAAGACCCATAGAGAGACCGTGACTCCGAGCTACCTGACCGAGGTGAGGCCGGAACCTGGGGGAGAAGCGACGACGTCCAGCTCGGATGGGTCGAGCCCGAGTTCTGAGAAGGGATCAACCGAGGCGGGAGCCAGCGGGGCAGCCTCGGAGTTGGAGTCGTCCGAGATGAGCGAGGGTGGTTCCGAGGTGGGCTACGACGAGGAGCTCGGCGTCGGGATACCACACGACGAGGACGCACTGGAGCCTGCCACTCCGGAGGACACAGCCATCATCGACTTCGGCAAGATGCCGAGGTTTAGAAGTCGCATCAGAAGAGATCGGGCCGTGAAGGTGATGAACAAGTACCCTTTTCGGTCGGGGTACGAGATTTTACCGCCCGGGGCGAATGACTCAGCCGAAAAGCCCCCCTTGGGCATGGTGGCCATCTATGTCCAGCAGTTAGAGGCCGGGCTGAGGATGCCCACCTCGAGGTTCTTCAGGGACTTGCTCCGTCACTTCTACGTGAGGATTACCCAACTCACCCCGAACGCGGTCCGCATCATCGTAGGGTTCGAGATGCTGTGTCGACATCAGGAGGTGACTCCCTCTGTCGACCTCTTCCGCCGATGCTATACCATCAAGGCGCACGGGACGGATAAGGGATGGTTTTATGTTGGCAACCGGAACAATGCCATTCCGAAGTTGGTGATCGGTTCTCCCAGCTCGATCAAAAATTGGAAACGCGACTTCTTTTTTGTGTCCGAAGTGGACTTCCCCAGGGGCTTCTGGTGGAGGCCAATCAAAGCGAAGGCCGATCCCTCCGCTGGGGATGCCAAGGAGGAGGACTTCCAGAAGCTGATGGGGTCGGGACTTCGGATATACAGTCTGGACTACCCCGAAGCCGTGCTAGTTGACGGGGGGATCAGTCGAGCTTTGCTCAGTCCTGACAGAACTCCCTTCACTTCCACCAAACTTAAGATTCCTTGTAATTTTCTTTCATAACTTCGCTTTCACTTCGGCTAAGGCATATGATAATATTTGTTTCTTGTGCAGTGACTAAACTGTCCGACATCGTCGTGTCTGGCTCGTCCGAAGTGGCCAAAAGGCAGAAGAGGAAGAGCTCCGGTGAGACATCGGCACCTCCGCCGAAGAAGAAGTCACAAGGACAAGCTGCCAAGACCTCGGCGGCTAAAAGCACTCCCACCACGGCTGGCCAAAGCAGCTCGGCCACCGCGGCTACGGGGTCCACCTCGTCCGTGCCAGAGGGAGTGCCCCTTGGAGTCGTCACGGCACTTTCACCTCCTCATGGCCGAGACAAGCAGTTGAAGCCCCCGGTCAATGCGGTCTCGGGGACCTCGCTATGGAATCGTTTCCATAGCCCCCCGGTGTTTTCCGGGGATGAAAAGACACACCCCGCCGGGCACTGGTGTCCGAACTGGAAACTTTCAGCCAACGACAGGTGCAGCCATCCTCGGGTTACCCAAGAGCTAGTAATGCACTCCCCCCTGCCAAGGGATTTGGAGTTTATGAAGAAGCTGACCCCGGCTGAGATGGTTCAAAGCCTCATGGTGAGCACAGCTTCCACCTCAGCCTTTGTGGCCGAGATGACACACCGGTACTGTGCTCTGGTCGAGGAGCAGGACACCGGCAAGCTGCAAAATCAGATCTCCAAGTTGGAGAAGAAATTGGCGGTGTCCGAGTCTGAGAAGGCCGAGCTTCAAAGACAGCTTAAGGAGGCCGAAGCTAAGGGTGAGGAAGCCGAGGTCACAATGAATAGTCTCAGATCGGCCCTCGAAGAAGAGCAGAAGAGGGGGGACGAGGCGAAGAAGTCTCATGAGCAAGCCCTCAACAGTGTTGGGGCCTCGGCAGTGGATGCATTTCGGAGGTCTGAGGCCTTCACCAAGGATCTCGGCCAACTGCTCACACCAAACTTCATGTTCGGCTTCACGTCGGGTGTGGACGCGGCCGCAGCCCACCTCCCCTCCGAAGCCTTGGAGTCGTTAAGAGGCCATGCCAGCTACAATGAGGACTCCCAGGAGCTGTGCGACCGGATGGCCGAGGGCATCCAGGCCGGAAGGAACTTGGCCGAGGTCCAGAACGAGTTCAACAAGTGGCTGTCTGAACTCGACGAAGTGTTCGAGGAGGGTGAAGAAGCTGGGGAAGACGAAGCCGGAGGGGACATCGGCGAAGAGCATGGAGAAGAACTTCACCCCGGCGGAGGAGAGTCCGGAGAGAAGGCTGCCCAGGAGGGAGCCGAGACGGGGAATGGAGCCGAGACTGGGGTCTAGGCTCGTGGGCCTTAAAGGGGTGGCCGAGGTAGAGAGTGCTTAGTAGCATTCCGACCTCGGCCTTGTATTTTTTGTAACGCTCCTCTGTTGAATGAAATTTTACTTCTTTTCATCTCAGCGCTTTAATTTCTTGCTTTGACTTCGTCCCCTTGCTTGTCCCCCTTTATTTTTTAATAGCGCAATGCCGATGTTGAAAAATAACATAAAATCCGAAGTCATAACTTGATTAAAAATTCAAGCATAATACATTTTGAGGTTCTCGGCGTGCCAAGACCTCGGCACTAGTGAGCCATCTCGGTAGCTCAGTTTACAATATCCCTTAAGATCAGATCCCACAACTCGGTAAGGGCCTTCCCATTTCGGGCATAGTTTCCCTTGCGGTTCAGCTCGGCTGACTGAGTTTTTCCTCAGAACCAAGTCTCCAGGCTGGAATCTACGGTGTCTGACGCGGGCATTGTAATAGTGTGCCAGTGTGTTCTTGTAGGAAGCTATCCGGGCTGAGGCGAGGTCCTTTCGTTCATCGACGAGGTCGAGATCCAGCTGCCTTTCTTCGTCGTTCACCTCGGCTGCATAGGCTGCTAGCCGAGGGCTGGGGGTAAGGATCTCAGCAGGGATGACAGCCTCGGCTCCGTAGGTCAAAGAGAATGGGGTCTCTTGCGTGGCTGACCTCGGCGTGGTCCGATAAGACCACAGGACACTGGGGAGTTTTTCGACCCAAGATGTCCCAACTCGGTGTAGTCGGGTCTTGAGGCCATGCAAGAGAGTTCGGTTGAAGTTTTCTGCTTGACCGTTGGCCTGGGGGTGGCCTACCGAAGTGAAATGTTGTTTGATGCCAAGGTTTGTGCACCAAGCTTTAAAGGGGTTCTCGGCAAATTGTCTTCCATTGTCCGAGATAATGACCTGAGGAATGCCGAAGCGGCAGACGACGCATTTCCAAAAGAATTTTTGAATTGCCAGCCCAGTGATGGTCCTTAGAGGCTCGGCCTCAACCCACTTGGTGAAATAATCCACCGCGGTTACCAGGAAGGTATAACCGCCGACGGTCCTGGGGAAGGGACCTATGATGTCTGTCCCCCATTGCTCAAACGGCCAAGGTGAAGTGATGGGAACCATGAAGTTTGCGGGCTGGTGATACTCGGGTGCGTGGACTTGGCAGGAAGGGCAGCCGAGAACGAGGTCCTGGGCGTCTTGCCGAACTGAGGGCCAGAAATATCCAAGAAGCAGAGCCTTCTTGGCTAGCATTCTGTGGCCGACGTGAGCTCCACACAAGCCCTCGTGGATCTCGTGGAGGACGTGGCGTCCTGTCTCGGGAGTGACACACCTCAGCCAGGGGCCGAGGTAGGAACGTTTGTACAGCTCTCCATCGCGGAGAGCGTACCGAGCCACCTTGCGTTGTATTTTTCTCGCCTCGGCTCGGTCTTCGGGGAGGGCTCCTTGATCCAAGAAAAGGATGAACGGGGTCATCCAGGTTTCTTCAGAGTGCACGGGGCATGCCACCTCTTCCACGTATCCTGGTTCACTCAGGACTTCCACCAAGACAGTTTTGTTGAGGTCGGAGAATGACGTAGAAGCCAGCCGGGATAAGGCGTCGGCTTGCTTATTCTGGGACCGGGGTATTCTTTGGATTTCGAAATACTCGAAGTACGCGGTGAGTTTGTGAACTTTGGAGAGGTACCGTTGCATGGTCTCATCCTTGGCCTCGTATTTACCAAGAACTTGGCGTACAACGAGTTGGGAGTCACTGCGGACGTGGATTTGCTGTGCGCCGAGCCTGCGGGCCAGCTGGAGTCCAGCAATTAAGGCCTCGTACTCGGCTTCATTATTGGTGGCTGGGAAGCCAAAGCGGAGGGCGTAAGAGCACACTTCTCCCTGAGGTCCTTCCAGGAGTAGCCCAGCTCCGCTGCCATCCCCATTAGAAGATCCATCTACATACAATGTCCACCGGGATGGGGTGGACACCTCGGCAAAGGCAGAGGTGGACTCTGGACCTTCCGTGAAGGTGAGCTCGGCCAAGAAGTCGGCTAAGACTTGAGCTTTTATGGCGGTGCGCGGCTCATACGACAGGTCGTACTCCCCTAACTCGACGGCCCATTTGGTGAGGCGCCCGGAGGCCTCGGGTCGAACCAGTATCTGTCGGAGAGGCTGGTCGGTCCTGACGGATATGGGATAAGCCAAGAAATAGGGTTTCAGTCGCCGAGCGGCGTGGACTAGGCCCAGCACCAGTTTTTCCACCTGAGTGTATCGAGTCTCCGGTCCGCAGAGAGCTCGGCTGACATAGTAGACTGGCACTTGGGTGCCCTCATCCCGGATCAGAACAGCGCTGACAGCCTCGTCGGCTGCGGAGAGGTAGAGGTAGAGCTTCTCCTCGGGCCGAGGTGAAGCGAGAGTGGGTAGGTGATGGAGGTATTGCTTCAGTTTGTCGAAAGCAGCTTGGCACTCTTCCGGCCAGGCAAACTGATCAGCCTTCTTGAGCACCTTAAAGAAGGGCAGAGCTTTCTCAGCTGATCGGGACAGGAAGCGATTCAGCGCGGCCAGGCGTCCATTTAGCCGTTGGACTTCTCGGATGTTCCGAGGTGGGGACATGTCCTGAATGGCCTTCACCTTGTCGGGGTTGGCCTCGATTCCCCGGTGGGAAGCCAGATACCCCAAGAATTTTCCCGAGGTGACGCCGAAAACGCACTTCTTGGGATTCAGCTTCATCCTCGAGTCTCGCAGGACACCAAAGACTTCCCTCACGTCTGACAGAAAGGATGAAGTGGCGAGACTTTTGACGAGGATGTCGTCCACATAGGCCTCCACATTGCGGCCGATCTGATTCTGGAAGAGTCGGTTGATCAGCCTTTGGTAGGTCGCCCCGGCGTTCTTTAGCCCAAAGGGCATGGTAGTATAACAATAGGTACCTCGGTCGGTGTAGAACGCCGTTTTCTCTTGGTCCTCCTCACCCATTCCTATTTGATGATACCCTTTGAAGGCATCTAGGAAGCAGAGGACTTCATACCCCATCGCCGCGTCGACGAGGGCGTCTATCCTCGGCAGAGGATAGCAATCTTTGGGGCAGGCCTTATTGAGGTCGGTGAAGTCTACACACATTCTCCATCCACCGGTGTCCTTTTTGACCATGACTGGATTGGACAGCCAGGTGGGATATTGGACCTCGTGGATCATCTTGGCCGGCAGGAGCTTGTCGACCTCATCCGATATGGCCTTGCCACGTTCGGGGCCGAAGTGCCTTCGCTTCTGCCGCACAAGTCGGGCCTGTGGGTCAACGTTGAGTTGGTGAGTCATGAGCTCGGGTGGCACTCCGACCACTTCATTCGCGGACCACGCGAAGACGTCTCGGTGGTCTTTGATCAGGGAGATCATTTCTTCTTTCAGGGGTGAGGGGAGTCCAGCCCCTACTTGGACCACTTGGTCAGGTTTCGCTTCATCCAAGACCACCTGTTCCACCTCATCTCCGGGCTCCAGCCTGTTGGGCTCTCCTGCCTTCTGAGGGTCGATGCAGTCTATGGAGAGGACCGCTGGCCTCTTTTCTTCTGACCTCGGTAGGGGCCGGGTGTGACTGCTGCTTGAATGGTGGCGAGATAGCACTCCCGGGCGGCGCCCACATCGCTGCTCACCTCGGCTACCCCCGCAGATGTTGGGAATTTAAATCTCAGGTGGTAGGTGGAGTATACGGCTCTCAAGGCATTGAGCGTGGGCCGGCCTATCTGCATATTATAGGGGGAGTCCGCTTTGACCACCGCAAAACTGACTGGCACAGTTCGGCAGCGTGGATGACGCCCGATTGTTACCATCAGGATCAACATGCCCTCCGGGTGGACGACGTGTCCCCCGAATCCCACGAGGGGAGTTCTGACAGGAGTGAGTTGCTCCCTGGTCAGCTTCAAACTTTCGAAAGTTCGGTAGTACAAGACGTCTACCGAGCTTCCGGGGTCAACATAGACCTTTTTGACTACGTAGTTGTTGGTGAGGACTTCAATCACAAGAGCTTCGTGATTGCTGGAGGCCGCAGGAACGGGGTCAGCGGGACCATAGGTGATGACCTCGGACAGCCGGGAGCTCGGCTCGGCCACCTCCATCTCGGCCTGGCGGTAGGTCCGCTTCCGGGAGTTCTGGCTGTCTCCTCCCGTTGGTCCTCCCGCGATGGTGTTGATCACCCCGACGATGTTGGGGCCGTAGCCCGGTGATCCATTGCGCGGAGGCTGCTTGTCCTCCCTACGGTCTTCAGGACCTCGGCAATGCATGTTCGTGTCCCGCCGGTCATCTCGGCGGGGGCCCTGGTTCTCCCGGTGGGAGACGCTTCGGTTGAAGCCTCCATCCTTGCGGACGAATTGCTTCAGGTATCCTTGCCGGATCAAATTCTCGATCTCTCGCTTCAGATCGTTACAGTCTTCAGTCTCGTGCCCAACATTCGGATGATAGGCGCAATAGAGGTTTGAATTCCTCTTATCTCTTCTCCCCGGAATTTCGGGAGGGTTGCGGCCGAGGTGATTCTGCCTCATCACAGCCAGGACATGGGTCCGGCTCGAATTGAGGGGTGTCCGCTCGGCGTCCGAGGTGGACGACCTGCCTTTTACGATTCGATCGAAAACACTCCGGCGGTCTCGGAGTTGGTTTGAAGTGCCACTGGGGCCTTGTTCACCTCGGCCTGTGTCTTTCCTCCTCCGGGGATCTAGCCCCGTACGAGACGCTTGGGCTTCTCGCTTCATGCGATTTACATCTTCATTTCGGATTCCCTGGTCCACTCTTTCCCAGAGCTCCCGAAGTGTATGGGTGTACTGCCGATGGATTTCGGTGTTGAAGATCCCTGCCACTAACCCGTTAGTGAAGGCAGCAATAGTTACCTGCTCGTTCTGGTCAGGTATCTGTACGTTCTCCTCGTTGAACCTTTGGGCGTACGAGCGAAGTGACTCGCCCTGACCCTGTTACAGGTTCAAGAGGTAAGCTGAAGTCTTTGTTATGGGTCGAGACGACACAAAGCGGTGGATGAACCGGTCTATCAGCTCATCCAGGGAGGAAATGCTCCCCTGGATAGGGATAAATTGAAGAAGACGAAAAAAGAAAAAGCCTGAAACATCCATAGATTGCACATCATTTCTTATAAATTCTAAATTATAGATAGAATATGCAAAAAAAAAAAGGTAAAATATGTTTTGAGGGACAAGGAATCCTTTGCCACCCGCAACAACTTAATTTCAACAGAATCTATAAACTACCATCTTATTAAATTGTTTCATGAGTCACCATCTCATTAGCTGCAAAATACTTCAGGGAATAGTAGAAACTAATTGTCATAAACATTAACTTACATCTCGAAATAGCATAATGTTGTTAGTGAAGCCAATACAATAAAAAATATGAAGTCTCAGACACAAATGCAAACATGGAAATAAAAAAGAGAAAATAATAAAAGTAAACAAAAGAAATCAAGATCAAACCAGCCGTAAAAGTGACCGTATTTCTTTTTTCTTCACCCAAAGCCTCCAGCCACTCGGGCTATAGATGATTCACCACCATCAACATCAAGCCTCCAACATCACCATTCTATATTTTACCCAATTAAAATCACCCATCTTGGATGCTTTAATTTGCGCTTTGAAGAGAGGTAATTCAAAGATATCTGATGCTTTAATTTCCAGCTTGAAGAGGTGATTTTTGGTGGGTAAATGGACCGACCTAAATCAGGCCTCTCTGAGATGAGGTGGTATACCTTTGCTTGTCCGAAGTGGATGGCGGGGCTTCTCCCCTGGTATCACTCCGACGATTAAGTTAGTATGAGAACGAGAAAGATAATGGTATATGAGAATGAACAGTGTGTTTACTTGTTGGGAGTGTGTGGGGTATTTATAGAGTGAGAGCGGAGGGCAGGACGGAGGTCTTATGTCGGTGGGACCCATGCCCTGCCATTACGGCTCTGCTCACTGTCTGGTGGCCTGACTCTGACACTGTAGCCGCCTGGACAGGGTGACGAGGAGTCCTTCGCAGTAGCCATTAAGTGCGACAGTGCTTTTCAGATAAAGCACTGATCCTGGGTGATGTCAGGTGTCCTGACCTCATCCGCGTGCAGCTGAGGTGGAGGTGCCGAGGTCACCTATACGGTAGACTAGGGATTCGGCCGCGCTTTAGGAGATATGCCCGAGACACGGATGAGCTCTGATGAGGGACGAGGTGAGTTCACCTCGGACACACGGGGTTGCCGAGGTGAGCACCCTCAATAAGCCCCCCAAGCCTCGGGAGCTCCGGGCCAGGGAGGTACCGAGGCTTCCTTGGCCGAAGTCGTAAAGAGTCGGAGTCCCGAAACTGCTCCGGAAGATACGGGGACGTGACACGTGGGCATGTCAGCTGATAGGACGTGGTCACTGGTAACCGTCGCGTCGTGAAGTAGTGGGACGTTTCTTGTAGAGGGTGTCAGGTAAAAGGACGGGCATTAATGAGGAGAGAGGGAGGCGCGGTGTTTTGAATTCGAACGTGGCCGTCCTTTCCCATTCTTACCGCCTCTTCGGATTCCCCCCAAACCTTTATAAATAGGGGGGTCCCCCTCACCGCACTACTCACACCTTTCACTTTCATCTGAGACTTGCAAAGTTCGTGAGCGTAGCCGAGGTCAGTTCTATCAGCCGAGATCAGTCTAGTAGCCGAGATCAGAGCCGAGGTCATCCACTTCGTCCAGTTCCGTAGGCAATAGTAAGTACCCTTCTTCTTTCTTATTTCGTCTTTCACCCATGGCCAAAACGGCTAAGACCCATAGAGAGACCGTGACTCCGAGCTACCTGACCGAGGTGAGGCCGGAACCTGGGGGAGAAGCGACGACGTCCAGCTCGGATGGGTCGAGCCCGAGTTCTGAGAAGGGATCAACCGAGGCGGGAGCCAGCGGGGCAGCCTCGGAGTTGGAGTCGTCCGAGATGAGCGAGGGTGGTTCCGAGGTGGGCTACGACGAGGAGCTCGGCGTCGGGATACCACACGACGAGGACGCACTGGAGCCTGCCACTCCGGAGGACACAGCCATCATCGACTTCGGCAAGATGCCGAGGTTTAGAAGTCGCATCAGAAGAGATCGGGCCGTGAAGGTGATGAACAAGTACCCTTTTCGGTCGGGGTACGAGATTTTACCGCCCGGGGCGAATGACTCAGCCGAAAAGCCCCCCTTGGGCATGGTGGCCATCTATGTCCAGCAGTTAGAGGCCGGGCTGAGGATGCCCACCTCGAGGTTCTTCAGGGACTTGCTCCGTCACTTCTACGTGAGGATTACCCAACTCACCCCGAACGCGGTCCGCATCATCGTAGGGTTCGAGATGCTGTGTCGACATCAGGAGGTGACTCCCTCTGTCGACCTCTTCCGCCGATGCTATACCATCAAGGCGCACGGGACGGATAAGGGATGGTTTTATGTTGGCAACCGGAACAATGCCATTCCGAAGTTGGTGATCGGTTCTCCCAGCTCGATCAAAAATTGGAAACGCGACTTCTTTTTTGTGTCCGAAGTGGACTTCCCCAGGGGCTTCTGGTGGAGGCCAATCAAAGCGAAGGCCGATCCCTCCGCTGGGGATGCCAAGGAGGAGGACTTCCAGAAGCTGATGGGGTCGGGACTTCGGATATACAGTCTGGACTACCCCGAAGCCGTGCTAGTTGACGGGGGGATCAGTCGAGCTTTGCTCAGTCCTGACAGAACTCCCTTCACTTCCACCAAACTTAAGATTCCTTGTAATTTTCTTTCATAACTTCGCTTTCACTTCGGCTAAGGCATATGATAATATTTGTTTCTTGTGCAGTGACTAAACTGTCCGACATCGTCGTGTCTGGCTCGTCCGAAGTGGCCAAAAGGCAGAAGAGGAAGAGCTCCGGTGAGACATCGGCACCTCCGCCGAAGAAGAAGTCACAAGGACAAGCTGCCAAGACCTCGGCGGCTAAAAGCACTCCCACCACGGCTGGCCAAAGCAGCTCGGCCACCGCGGCTACGGGGTCCACCTCGTCCGTGCCAGAGGGAGTGCCCCTTGGAGTCGTCACGGCACTTTCACCTCCTCATGGCCGAGACAAGCAGTTGAAGCCCCCGGTCAATGCGGTCTCGGGGACCTCGCTATGGAATCGTTTCCATAGCCCCCCGGTGTTTTCCGGGGATGAAAAGACACACCCCGCCGGGCACTGGTGTCCGAACTGGAAACTTTCAGCCAACGACAGGTGCAGCCATCCTCGGGTTACCCAAGAGCTAGTAATGCACTCCCCCCTGCCAAGGGATTTGGAGTTTATGAAGAAGCTGACCCCGGCTGAGATGGTTCAAAGCCTCATGGTGAGCACAGCTTCCACCTCAGCCTTTGTGGCCGAGATGACACACCGGTACTGTGCTCTGGTCGAGGAGCAGGACACCGGCAAGCTGCAAAATCAGATCTCCAAGTTGGAGAAGAAATTGGCGGTGTCCGAGTCTGAGAAGGCCGAGCTTCAAAGACAGCTTAAGGAGGCCGAAGCTAAGGGTGAGGAAGCCGAGGTCACAATGAATAGTCTCAGATCGGCCCTCGAAGAAGAGCAGAAGAGGGGGGACGAGGCGAAGAAGTCTCATGAGCAAGCCCTCAACAGTGTTGGGGCCTCGGCAGTGGATGCATTTCGGAGGTCTGAGGCCTTCACCAAGGATCTCGGCCAACTGCTCACACCAAACTTCATGTTCGGCTTCACGTCGGGTGTGGACGCGGCCGCAGCCCACCTCCCCTCCGAAGCCTTGGAGTCGTTAAGAGGCCATGCCAGCTACAATGAGGACTCCCAGGAGCTGTGCGACCGGATGGCCGAGGGCATCCAGGCCGGAAGGAACTTGGCCGAGGTCCAGAACGAGTTCAACAAGTGGCTGTCTGAACTCGACGAAGTGTTCGAGGAGGGTGAAGAAGCTGGGGAAGACGAAGCCGGAGGGGACATCGGCGAAGAGCATGGAGAAGAACTTCACCCCGGCGGAGGAGAGTCCGGAGAGAAGGCTGCCCAGGAGGGAGCCGAGACGGGGAATGGAGCCGAGACTGGGGTCTAGGCTCGTGGGCCTTAAAGGGGTGGCCGAGGTAGAGAGTGCTTAGTAGCATTCCGACCTCGGCCTTGTATTTTTTGTAACGCTCCTCTGTTGAATGAAATTTTACTTCTTTTCATCTCAGCGCTTTAATTTCTTGCTTTGACTTCGTCCCCTTGCTTGTCCCCCTTTATTTTTTAATAGCGCAATGCCGATGTTGAAAAATAACATAAAATCCGAAGTCATAACTTGATTAAAAATTCAAGCATAATACATTTTGAGGTTCTCGGCGTGCCAAGACCTCGGCACTAGTGAGCCATCTCGGTAGCTCAGTTTACAATATCCCTTAAGATCAGATCCCACAACTCGGTAAGGGCCTTCCCATTTCGGGCATAGTTTCCCTTGCGGTTCAGCTCGGCTGACTGAGTTTTTCCTCAGAACCAAGTCTCCAGGCTGGAATCTACGGTGTCTGACGCGGGCATTGTAATAGTGTGCCAGTGTGTTCTTGTAGGAAGCTATCCGGGCTGAGGCGAGGTCCTTTCGTTCATCGACGAGGTCGAGATCCAGCTGCCTTTCTTCGTCGTTCACCTCGGCTGCATAGGCTGCTAGCCGAGGGCTGGGGGTAAGGATCTCAGCAGGGATGACAGCCTCGGCTCCGTAGGTCAAAGAGAATGGGGTCTCTTGCGTGGCTGACCTCGGCGTGGTCCGATAAGACCACAGGACACTGGGGAGTTTTTCGACCCAAGATGTCCCAACTCGGTGTAGTCGGGTCTTGAGGCCATGCAAGAGAGTTCGGTTGAAGTTTTCTGCTTGACCGTTGGCCTGGGGGTGGCCTACCGAAGTGAAATGTTGTTTGATGCCAAGGTTTGTGCACCAAGCTTTAAAGGGGTTCTCGGCAAATTGTCTTCCATTGTCCGAGATAATGACCTGAGGAATGCCGAAGCGGCAGACGACGCATTTCCAAAAGAATTTTTGAATTGCCAGCCCAGTGATGGTCCTTAGAGGCTCGGCCTCAACCCACTTGGTGAAATAATCCACCGCGGTTACCAGGAAGGTATAACCGCCGACGGTCCTGGGGAAGGGACCTATGATGTCTGTCCCCCATTGCTCAAACGGCCAAGGTGAAGTGATGGGAACCATGAAGTTTGCGGGCTGGTGATACTCGGGTGCGTGGACTTGGCAGGAAGGGCAGCCGAGAACGAGGTCCTGGGCGTCTTGCCGAACTGAGGGCCAGAAATATCCAAGAAGCAGAGCCTTCTTGGCTAGCATTCTGTGGCCGACGTGAGCTCCACACAAGCCCTCGTGGATCTCGTGGAGGACGTGGCGTCCTGTCTCGGGAGTGACACACCTCAGCCAGGGGCCGAGGTAGGAACGTTTGTACAGCTCTCCATCGCGGAGAGCGTACCGAGCCACCTTGCGTTGTATTTTTCTCGCCTCGGCTCGGTCTTCGGGGAGGGCTCCTTGATCCAAGAAAAGGATGAACGGGGTCATCCAGGTTTCTTCAGAGTGCACGGGGCATGCCACCTCTTCCACGTATCCTGGTTCACTCAGGACTTCCACCAAGACAGTTTTGTTGAGGTCGGAGAATGACGTAGAAGCCAGCCGGGATAAGGCGTCGGCTTGCTTATTCTGGGACCGGGGTATTCTTTGGATTTCGAAATACTCGAAGTACGCGGTGAGTTTGTGAACTTTGGAGAGGTACCGTTGCATGGTCTCATCCTTGGCCTCGTATTTACCAAGAACTTGGCGTACAACGAGTTGGGAGTCACTGCGGACGTGGATTTGCTGTGCGCCGAGCCTGCGGGCCAGCTGGAGTCCAGCAATTAAGGCCTCGTACTCGGCTTCATTATTGGTGGCTGGGAAGCCAAAGCGGAGGGCGTAAGAGCACACTTCTCCCTGAGGTCCTTCCAGGAGTAGCCCAGCTCCGCTGCCATCCCCATTAGAAGATCCATCTACATACAATGTCCACCGGGATGGGGTGGACACCTCGGCAAAGGCAGAGGTGGACTCTGGAC